TCCTGCCCTGGCTTCCTTCAGTGGTGGACTACAGTGCAGAAGAGCAAGCCTAATAAACCCTTTCCTCCCCAGGTTGTTTTTGATCATGGTGTTTCATTACACAAATGATAACCCTACCCAAGACAGCTCCTAATTAATTGCATGTGTGCTGGTGTGTGCTGGCTCCTTGTGTGTCAGCTCGGAAGCTGCAGTCATCTGAGGGGAGGGAACCTTAATTGAGGAAATGCCTTCATGAGGTTGGGCTGTAGGGCATTTTCTTAATTAGTGATTGATGTGGGGGTGGGCGGCCCATGGTGGGCCCTCTGTGGCCTCTGCATCAGCTCCTGCCTCCAAGTTCCTGTCCTGTTTGAGCTCCTGCCCTGACTTCTTCAGTGACCGACTATGGCGTGATGTGTCAGCCAAATAAACCCTCTCCTCCCCAACATGCTTTTGGTTATAGTGTTCCATCTCAGTAACTGGTGTATGATCAAAAATCAGTAATACAGAGAGAGACAGAGAGAGAGAGAGAGAGAGAGAGAGAGAGAGAGAGAGAGAGAGCGAGCGCATGTGCAGTATTCCACGGTTAAATGTCAGGGGCTGTGGAAATAGCTCGGAAAATCATATCTTTGCCTGGGTCAGAGGAAGCCTGCACGTACCCAGTGCTGGCTCTACTGTGCAGGGTTGGAGGCCGTGCCAGAGTGGAGATCCTTCACGAGGCAATAGGACTCGGCTACAAATCCCTGAAATTTCTAGGCTGAGCAAGGCTGGTGACCGGGATGGGGGTGTTGTGGCTTCAAAAATGTAGAGCAGGTGTCTTAGTCACTGTTCCATTGCTGGGAAGAGTCGCCATGACCAAGACAACTCTTATAAAAGAAAACTCTTAATTGGTGGCTGGCCTACAGTTCCAGAGGTTAGTCCATTATCATCATGGCAGGGAGCCTGGGAACAAGCAGGTGTGGTGCTGAAGAAGAACCTGAGTGCTACATCCTGATGCACAGGCAGAAAAAGGGAGAGAGACGGGGCTGGTGTGGGATTTCGAAACCTCAAAGCCCACCCCCAGTGACACACCTCCTGGAACAATTTGTTTTTAAGGTTTTGAGACAAAGTCTCATTATGTAGCCCTGGCTGGGCTCGAACTCCCAGAGCTCCAAGTGCCTTTGCCTCCTGACCTCATCCAGCCTGTTTGCTCCTCTTGGTTAGCTTTCAACTCCTTCGCGCTGTCCAGGAGCCCCTGCCTTGGAAACACTGCCCATGATGAGCTGGGTCTTTCTCATCAATTAATGAAGACAACCCCACACAGACACCCCCAGGCCAACCTGAGGGAGTTAACACTTCGTTAAGCGCTCTTCCCGGGTGGGTCTGGGCTGTGTCCAGTTGACAGTTATAACCAGCACAGAGCATCAGTCCACAGGACTGAGGACAGGGCTCAGCACTTAGAGGAACACAGGCCAGGGCCTTCCAGGTGTCCCCACTCCGGGATACAGCATTGCCACATCCCATTCCTGGGGGGCCGGGGAGGGGGGGGGCGGGGAACAGCCACAGCAAACACGCAGCTGGCCGTGGACTGTGGGGCTTGTTTTGAAGTCGCCACGTCATGTCCTCTGAGTGAGATACACGGCAGGCAGCCGCGCTCAGGGCAGGAGGGAACCAGGGCTGTTCGCCACCCAGGCCTGGGGTCGGAGCCGCTTGCGGCTGGGCGCCCACTCAGAGCCTGAAGTGCTGCGTAATATCCACCAGGTGGCGCAAC